AGGAAGTTCAGGTCGGGGGCACAACAACAGCCCTCCTACCACACAGAGACACGCACACACTAACAGCAGTGCCCGGGACATATGGGGAGGGGGTAGGGTGCACAGTCCCGGCGTTACCTTCTGTCCTATCATTGCCATTATCGCTGCCCTTATCAGAGGGCACGGGGAGAGGCACAAGATTATCCTAGCTGCCCTTACAATCATTCCGGCATGCTGTTCAGCTTAACACAGTCTCTCTTTCACACACATACATATATCTTTGCTTAATTACCAAGCGTTAAACAAATTGGTGTAGTGCACACCCCTTCTTCACCTGTCTTACACCAGCAGGGTGACTTGCTGATGGTAACACCGCTCACTGTAACCGCTACGTCCCTTATCTCGCATACATAGTTCATTAGATAAGTCTCTTCGAAGACCACGAGATACCACTGCCACCACAATCACAATTCTACCTTCCACCAACAGTTCGATCGAAGGCTTGCATGTACGTTAATATTTTCCACAGGCGGTATACGATCCTTACGGGGTTTGGAGCTTTTCCATAAATATACCAATCAAGTACAGAGCCATAGTGAAGAAAACAGAGGTAACAAGACAAGACTTCCCCACAGAGCACACTGCGTGGCAGAACCCAGAAGAATGCAGCGTCAGCCTCCGTCAACACCCACAGTAGACTGCGGGGGACTACTGGCCTCTGATGCACCAAATATGTACAAATTTTCTCAACAAATGTGTACCTATATATTTTATTGTTTATTGTAGATCGAGGCTAAGAGACTGAACATCTTTCCTGTATTTTCAGTTATAATCAGACAGACTCAACACTTTCAAAATGTATATACTCAATCAACTGCTACAAACTGTTAGGCTTTTGGCAACACAGTTGTTAAATAAAGCCTATCACCGAGACCAATCATCACACTGACCTACTATCACCGCATTTGACCTCGCACTTGACCTTGCCTTTTCCAGGCTGGAATATTGCTGTGTACTAACGGCCCCCTTTCAAGGCAAGCGAAATTGCTGGGCTTGAAAATGAACAGAGAACCTTCACAGCTCGTATAAACTCAGTCAAGTACCTAAATTACTGGGAATGCGCCAAGTCCCTAGAACTGTACTCCTTAGAACGCAGGCGAGAAACGTACATCATAAGCTACACCTTGAATATACTGGAGGAACTGGTACCAAACTTCCATACCGAAATTATTACTTATGAACACAAGACTTGGCAGATAGTGCAGGATACCTTCAATGAAAATGAGGGAGCGACGAGTACACTTACATCTCAACCATTATTATTCTTCGTGGTCCTTTAACACACCGTCCCTTCTAGCTGTCTTCAAGAGGAAACTTGACAGGTTCCTCTAAACAGTTCTTGATCAACCGGGTTGTGATGTATACGCTGGACTGCAGTTGGTGGGCACTAACATCTTGATCAATGAGGTCAACAACCAGGAGGCCTGGTCTGGGACTGGACCGCGGGGGTGCTGACCCCCTGGAAGCGACTCCAGGTATATACTTCCTTTCGCCTATACAATTATTTATCCCCAAGTATTTCTGTCGATTTGAAAAAGTCTGTTGTCCAGGTGAAAAATTGTCTAAATCAAGTTTATCACTGCTGCGTGTGTATTTATTACATGGAAAACCTCGGCATTCATAACCATTATCTGAGAACTCTAGCCTAGACAAGTTTAGGATAAATTCCATGAATATGACAGCAGCCTCAATGATCTGCACCGCCAGACAGATCACGAATTAATAACAACAATGAGTGGAAATTAACTTGAGTCACCATGCGTTAACCAGAGCCACCGTTGGTCAGGGACCAAGCCGCGGGGGCGCCGACCCCCGGAATACCCACCAGGTATACCGTGCATTAACTATCAGTCTTCTGACTAATCATTTCAAACACAAATTATACAGATAAATAACATTATTTCTATAAGGTATGGTTTACAAATGGTTCGAAAAAGGTGATATCACTGACATACTTCTCAGAAAGTGTTATACAAGATATTACAGGCAGACGAGTCAAGTGATCTTGTTTCATATATTCATCTGGAGATACAGAGGCCATCGCCCAACTCTTACTATGAGTAATTTCTCCGTTGATAAATTTAAAGTATCACACCAGTCAAAGGTAGAGTCACAATACAGGAAGGCAGGGGAACATGTCACCATTCGAGATGCCTCAACTAGACCCCTAAGAAATGGGTAGGGAACTGACGAACAAATCGCTGTATTCGATTTCAGCCTCTTTATAGCCTTTCCGGCCATAAAGTATATCGCACAAGTCTTAATTATCAACTTGTTGGTATTGTATACGACTAACATAGCAGGGAATGTTCGTGTAGGTTGTGGAAGGTAACACACAGCTGCTTCAGCATTCTCAACACAACTACAAAGATACGTCAGAATGAATCGCCAGTTTGTTATTGTACACATTTATTAACGAAACGTTTATTTAGCGAAAGCCGATAAGCAAAATTAATGTATATAGTTATTGTTTGTTGATAAATAAAACTTTCCCAGCATATGCGTGGGGATATTAAATTTTAGTTATAGAAAATGGACCAAAAACCTGTTAATGAGAAAACGTAGTAGGCTAAGATTAAGTGGGTTTCCTCTATATATGAGATCTTATTAGATTATTTAGTACGAACTCACTTTCTAAGACCTTACTTCATAAAAGCGATGTTATGGCTTTTAAACAAATAGCCTGTAAACAAATCACAGGAACGCAACTTCTGACGTAACCTTAAAACTGAATAAATTTTCAGCGTTGAAGTACGTAACCGGAAGTTGACTTCGAGTGATAAAGCTTTTTCGTCTTGTCCACTTTTCTTTTTATTTAGATTTTGCCCCCGAGGTAATAAGTTGCTTGAACAATCACTCATCCTGGGAGTGAATCTACCGTCATAGGCCATTACAGCCTAGATAGATAACAAGCCCGGGACCCCCAGTGGAATAAGTCAGACTTTCTTCTTGAGTTATCCATGACAATTTGCAAATATATTATTATGCAGGACAACTGTAATCATCCAAAGATTGTGCGACTAGTCAAATATATTTCCATCATCCAGGATGAACTAAGTCAATGACTGACCATTTTTTGGAGGGTTATCCTAATTTATTATAATATTTGTTTCCACAAATACATGTACATATTATGTATTAGAATTGTAATCTCCTAAATTGTATATAACTGTTATGTGTACCTGTATCTATCAACTTATAATTACGTAAATTCGACGACTGTGTAATAAGTCAAACATCTAATATTCTTCCACATTATAGCCACCATTACCTCCTAGCGGATCTATAGTATCAACACTTCCTGAAAGACTAGTCCTATCAGATCTAAACACTGCTCAAGCCTCCCTGGGGATGCCGGGGTGTTGTCCTAGCACCTGGTGCTAGGCTGGCTGCGGGTGTTGACCTACTCACCGCCGGCGACATTGATGAAGTCTTCTCCCGTAGCCTTGTACACCTCGATGTAGCGGTTGCCGATATGGTGCTTGTGTCTCTTGAGCGCCATGTCTCTGTGCTCTGGGGAGATGAAGCGGATCAGTGCCTCCCCGTTCCTGCGTCCCTGTGGGCTTAGACACAGTGCCACGCCGCCTCTGAGGAAGGGAATTGACACGGTGAGTTATACACTCTGGCAGATTAACTTAAAAGACGATATATTATACACAAATGAATTTATACATAGGAAGGAGGAAAGCATTGACTTGGCAATAAAGTTGCTAGATTAATGAAACAGTGGCACTCAAGGTATTTTTTACCACAAATTTTTTGTATTATGCTGAAAAAAACAGCACTGCAGAATTTTCCTTAAGCCACCACTAGCGAAATTTCCAGTGGAATAATAAGGAAAATTTGAACAGTTCATGTCACTTTTTTCAAATAAATGCTTCTAGCACCAGCTGGTTATGTTTTTAATACTGTACAATACTGGCAGTATTAACACACACACAAAGTTCATGGAGCGGGAAGAGTGACCCAGTAGCGGCCAGTGAAGAGGCGGGGCCAGGAGCTGTGACTCGGCCCCTGAAACCACAACTAGGTGAGTACGTACACACACACACACACACACACACACACACACACACACACACACACACACACACACACACACACACACACACACACACACACACACACACAGCAACCTCAACTAGGCGAGTACAGCTACTGACGTAGTGGCGACATTCTACTGTGTAATGACTAGGATCATCTCCAGAATGTCTGAGTGGAAAACCTGAAGATATCCTACCACCATGGAAGACTAACAATATATTTGCATCATTCACACACTAACAATAGAGCGCCAGGTTCATGACAGGTTCGGTACAAGTTCACCCATCAAGACAGTGCTTACGATTTAGATATTAGGTACTTATATAAACTGGATACAACTGAAAATAAAGTAATTATGGTACTCTGTTTGAACTGTATTTGAAGGAATTAAAACAAATAGAAATATCAATGACAAATTAAATACAAATTTACAACTTAGATTTCTTTAAAAACACAAATGTTTCTGTATCTGCAAATGCAAATATACATTTGTCGTCCTATCTCTGACAGATGTTCACTCACACACGAGAAAATCAGGGAGAGAAAAGCTGGGATTTCAATACATCTAAAAATACAGATATACAAAATATACTTACGGGGGTGTATAAGAGAAAGTAAAATTAGATACAGTTCAAGGAGGGGGGGGGGTTGTTGTTGATGTAAAAGAGATGGATATAACTTAAATTTCAGAGGTAAAGGTCAGGTCAGGACACACAAGGTACGTACATACAGGGAGTAAACACAAGGGACACGTGTCCGGTATATTAGAAGGAATTTAAAGGGGGGAATCCCCCCCACACACACAGTGGGGGGCTATTTCACAGAACCTGCTGGACTAAAATTAAATGCAGATTTGAATTCAAGGGACCAAAAATTAGCCAGAAACACAGGTTTTTAAACGTGAAGTGAAACAATTGTTGGTTAGTGTAATTATTAAGCGACCAGGACAGACATGTAGATCGCTGTATAAGCCATACCTAAGACAGAACTCGAGTATCCTGCGCCAGTATGGAGCCCTCATGTTATCAAGTATGCAAAACAAATGACTTCAGAGAATGAATAGATGGCTGCTTCATAATTGAAGATTAAAGTGGATATAAAGAACATCTATGAGAGCAAGAACTGGCAGCCATGAAGAAGCGAAGAGAAACAGAAGAGACACATTCACGACTATTTCTGCCTTGCTTACCGTGGAGTGCACTATACTTATCACTGTACATAGTGTACATATTGCTGTTCTAAATTGGTGAAGGATAATATAAGTCTAAACTTTTTCTGCTGTGTTTATTTTGCTCCCATTACACCCGGGGTAACAGGCCATTTGGAATCCTGGGTTGTAATAACGACTTAAAAGATACCCAAAGAGAAAATACACACTGACACACATTGGAGGCAAGAGAGTGATGGCACACACATTGAAATTAGTTCAAATGAACCAGAGGAACAATAACTTCAATCAAGATAAAATGAACACAAACATATTTGAAGTTAACGCAATACACTGAAAACCAGCCATGACCAGGCTCGAAATAGCTGGCTGGGAGTAAGCCATGTCAAATGAAAGAACATGGAACGGGGCCCAAAAGCTGGAGACAAACCCTCCTACAGATGTAACTAGGCGAGCGTGCGCACACAAGGTAAGAGGTGGGAGGGTGCATCGCCGCTACAATCATACGACTGCCGTGTCCAGTGTCGTGGAAAGGCATCGACTTTCAACAAATCATGCATGCGTCTTGTGCGCTTTGAAACTTACGTTACGACATGGGTGAGCGCGCACATCTGTGCTCACGTCTCACAAGCCCTCCCGCTCTCTCACATTAAACACGTCCCTGTAACACTGACTGCTCACACACACAGTGTACTCACAACACCTGTAACAACGGTTAGCTATACAGATGCGTCACAAAATTCAGACCACCGTGCACCTGCAGCAACCGCTGAGTACATACCCGTGATCACAACACCTGCAGCAACCGCTGAGTACACACCCGTGATCACAACACCTGCAGCAACCGCTGAGTACATACCCGTGATCACAACACCTGCAGCAACCGCTGAGTACATACCCGTGATCACAACACCTGCAGCAACCGCTGAGTACATACCCGTGATCACAACACCTGCAGCAACCGCTGAGTACACACCCGTGATCACAACACCTGCAGCAACCGCTGAGTACATACCCGTGATCACAACACCTGCAGCAACCGCTGAGTACATACCCGTGATCACAACACCTGCAGCAACCGCTGAGTACACACCCGTGATCACAACACCTGCAGCAACCGCTGAGTACATACCCGTGATCACAACACCTGCAGCAACCGCTGAGTACATACCCGTGATCACAACACCTGCAGCAACCGCTGAGTACATACCCGTGATCACAACACCTGCAGCAACCGCTGAGTACACACCCGTGATCACAACACCTGCAGCAACCGCTGAGCACACATCCGTAATCACAACACCTTAAGTCCCAGATAGGTAAAGCACTTCAAACATTACTTTATCCCGATGAAAGCAGGAATCAATCAAGTGAACACACGATGCGTGTAGACTCAGCAATAATAACCCAGAAAAAAAAACAGGACACGCACGATCCAATGTTTCTTGTTGCGAAAGGTATGAATAACCAGGAGCCGAGACTACCACAGACTTAATCTGTATTTATTTTTTTCCTGTAGCAAAACTGTGTACCACAACAGTGCTGGTACCCTAGACTTCACGAGTTACAGTGTGGAGACAAAAGCTAGCTACATTTACTTGCTACTCGCACAGAATGGGATTGGTTCATCAGGTTACGAAATGTGTCGTGCTGAACTGGAAGAGTTCAGTATTGGTTTCAACACTCCCCTCCCCCTCCACACACAGGGATGTTAGAAAGTATTTCTTCAGTCACAGAGTTGTCAGGAAGTGGAATAGTCTGGGAAGTGATGTAGTGGAGGCGGGATCCATACATAGCTTTAAGAAGAGGTATGATAAAGCTCATGGAGCAGGAAGTGACCTAGTAGCGGCCAGTGAAGAGGCGGGGGCAGGAGCCCTGAATCGACCCCTGCAACCACAACTAGGTGAGTATATTGGGGAAGCTGAGGGCATATTGCTTCCTATACTGGGACACAACGGGAGGGGGGAAGGGAATCACACCAATCACACAGGCCGAGTCGAGTTGTGTGAATTATAAAGCACTGCAATCATTTGCTTATTCAGTGCCCTCTGCTATCTTTACAATACATTAATATTATGAATTTACTGCTATCCTGACTAATAAGTTATATAATATGTATTGTAATCACGATATATTCAAAACAAGAGATCGCCAAGTGATGATGTTTGTGAGGCAACTTGGAGCTAGCCATGACACTCCTCAGCTATGGAAGACGGAGCTCAGCCTCAAGGCGAAGGAAGCTGAGGAAATAACGCACCTGAAGGAGTCAGATTTAGAAAGAAGCAACGGTACCAAAAGACCTCGCCATGAATAGTGAAGGGATGGGCAAAAGTCCTTAGTAAGTCACTATTAGAGATCTGCAATATCACCTTGGTGACAGAGGACGGAAAGACAAACACATTACCAGTTATTCAAGAAAATCGGATAAATTGAAAGCCTTGAAATTACATATCAGTATTCCTGATACACATACCTTGCAGTATATCTAAGAATATTTAACAAAGTCCACGGGAAGACAGTGTGGAAATAAGATTCACAAGTGATAGATTTGCAGACACTGCCTCATCCACATACCCAAACACCAGAACCACACACACACATCCACAAATCGGGTACACGTGGAGTCCAACGTAGAAAGGTGGACGAGGAAAGAAGTCAGAAAGGACTAACTGGATTGACTAAGAGTGCGGGTCCACGTCTTCCCTCATCCTTCCCCTAACACTTAACAACGAGGGACATGACCAGGTTACAAAGACCACTCTCCTGTGTGTTTACAAAACATGTACGCTCACGCCCCAACAGTGCCGCAGGTGATCACTGCAAACACCAGAGCAGGCGCGCGCACACACGCGTGCATGAACGTCCACCAGCGCACAATGCCACTCTCCTCACTACACTAGGCTAAAACTTCGATTGCACTCCTGGTACCCACTCTTCATACCTGAAACTGAAACACTTTGGTTAACAGGTTTTCAAAAAGGCGAGGGATGAGAGGTGAGAGCGGAAGGAGAGAGAGACAGAGGGAAAGAGAATGGGGAGGGGTAAGTGTGATATGAATTCAGCAGCGGTGCATTAAGAAGTATTCGAGTAAGTTGCCCTGCAACACGACACCTACAATGAACTTCCTGCTAGGAACCCCTCCAGGTTTTGCGATCCTTAACTCGCTCAACGATCGTCCTTAATCTAGGTAGAACTAGACAGGTCTAAGCAGATGGAAGCTCACACGGCGAGTCTAAGTCCTCTGCTAGACTGTCTCCCATGTACTACCTAGCTACTGAACCTCCCTCCCGACGAGAGGAGGGGACACAGAGCCAGCCTCCCGACGAAAGGAGGAACCATAAGGCAAAAGAAAACACGCGAGAAGAGGCTACGACCTTCCTTGCGTGTTCTATCACATCCAGATTATACACTGGCAAATTGTTATCAGATTATACAGCTCAGTAATCAACACTATATATACATACTATTACTACTACTACTCTACTATTAAAAATAATAACAGCAGCATGGGGTCATCTCCAGAGGTATGTGATGTAGGCCTTTCTCGTGTACGTATCTGAGTGTTGCAACTACGGGTGGCAGTGAATGGTTGTCGACAGACTTCCTCAGGCGACGTAAGGCACTGGGGAAGACCATGGGACCTTTCCTGACCACACAGCATCAAGGACTGAGCTTTAAGGAGAACCGATACAAAATTTACGGTAGCTTAATCACACCTTGAGGCTTGTTGGGTGTGTGAGGGCAGAAGTGAACCTCGCCCAGATCGCGAGCTCTGCCTGGAGAGCCACTTGGTGGCTACAGTATGGGCGTGGTGGGCAGCGTGGGGCGCAGTGTGTGGGCGGCGACGATAGACGGGGGCAGAGGAGAGCTTAGTTTTGCTCGGAGTCTGCTGAGGAACGTCCAGTACACCGTCAGGAAGATCTCCCGTCGAGCTGCTGTCGGGCCTTCGTGACGTGTCTGGCTGTTTCTGCTCTGACGCCTCTGACTGATGCTGCCCTCCCATCACACACGCCTCTTCTGTGACATCCTGAAGAACTTCACATCTGGCACTCTGGCAGCCATCATCCTTGGAGTCTTCACGGTCGCTATCCAGTGAACCTTTATACAAGACGCCCGGGACGCCCTCATTACTGGTATTCTGAGGGTGTCCACACGTGGCACTGTCAGTGATGGCATGCTGAGGGTGTCCACACGTGGCACTGTCAGTGATGGCATGCTGAGGGTGTCCACACGTGGCACTGTCAGTGATGGCACGCTGAGGGTATCCACACGTGACACTGTCAGTGCTGGCACACTGAGGGCATCCACATGTGGCACTGTCAGTGCTGGCATGCTGAGGATGTCCACACGTGGCACTGTCAGCGCAGTCCTCACAGAGCCTCGAAGTCGACTGGTCATCATTTACAGCCTGGAGGAACGCCTCTGGAGAGCTCCTCCGGTCGTCGACATCCCTGCAGGAGTCACCACCCCTTGCGGGAAGGCACTTTGGGAAGCCAGGAGGAGGACAAGTGCTGGCAGCAGCAACAGTGGTAGTGGTGGAGGACTGCTCGCTTGAGGAACTCTGGCTAGAGGAACTGGAGTGTGACACGCACGGACGTGGCATGATGCCACTACCACCCACTGAAACACACTGCCCCGGAGCTGACGCTGCTGCTGCGCTCTCTCTGGACTGGTGACTCGTTCCCCGCGTGTTTTATTCACATCTCGCCTCGACAACAATGATTTATGTAAACCTCATACAAGTCTTTCACATCCCGAACGTCTCACAGAAAGAGGGAAGGGAAACCGTGGATGGGTGGAAAGGAAAATGGAGTGGGTAAAGAGTGATAAAGAGAAAGGCAAGATAATCAGAGCAAGGGAGGGAATCCGAAGGCAAGGGAGAGAGGTTCCTGAGACGCCGGGGGCCAGGTCAGCTGCCAACTTAGCCAGCACATTATCTGCAACAATGTGGTGACAATGGACTGACACTGTTTGTTCTCTCTCATGCAGAAACCCAGTACATCCTCCCACAAGAACCACCACCCACCCCTCGTCTACCACACTTCCTTCCACTACAAGCACCACCCCATCTACCACACTCCACCACACCAAGAACCACCCCATTACCACACTTCCCTCCACTACAAGAACCACCCACTCCCTCGTTCTTTCTCCTCCACTCTTAACCATCACACAAGTGTTTCACAAACCTCTAAGGCTGTAAACAAATGAAAACTTCATTAAAACATTAACAATACAAATATCAGGTAAATGGACACGTGTCCAACTTGAGACTTGTGTTAGAGCAACGTTTCGCTCAACAGGATATTTATCATGCCAATTCATATATAAACATAATGAGTGCGTGTAGGGGAGGAGGGAGCAGTAGTAGTAGTCTCAAGTGATGGAGGTGTCGTGTGTTTAAAGTAGGATTCGTGTATGTAGAATAGGATTCGTGTCAGAATTCTGAAAACAAAGCTCCCTGTATTCTGTGTTACGGCGTTGGACACACACAAGGGCTGCCTCGATGCGCTTGTGCCTCTGTGCCTGGTTCTGAGGTAACCAGACACACATCTTTCTATCTCGTAAGGTTGTTAGTGGCGTGTCCATGTTGCACGCAGAGGTTGGTCAGGTTGTGACATCTGCTGGTATTAATGTGTTCGCTCAGAAGTGTTTTCAGGATGTGGCACGTTTCTCCAATGTATACTCTTTCGCATCTCCCGCAGGGTACAGTGTAAACCCCTGTGTGGACCATTTCTGGATACCAGATTTTAATTTTGGCGAGGTGGATGAGTAAGACTCGTGTGCAAAACTTCGCTATCTTTATTGTATAATTTTTTCTCTTGCTCTGCAGGCTTCTTCAGACGAATACATTTGTGACAGAGCTAATTATTACACATGTGTCATGCTCATCTGCTTGTCAACAATATATACTATTGTTCTAATGATTTTGGCGAGGTCTTGGAGGGTGAAAAGGGCAGCCGCCGTGGTTATTGACAGTACCAAGAGCGAGTGTTGTATATATACACTATGCAACTTGGCAGTTAGGAAAGACGATGAATTTGTGGGAACCGGTGTCGCTTTGTGGAGAGTTAAAGATCTGGAGGTCGTGTTTCTCGCACACTGCTAATGAAGAAGGTAGGGAAATGGACCTCCAAAAATTTGTGATGTGTAAAGTAACACTGTGTAGGGAACGTTGGGCTACAGATAATTAAGTTTCTTACTGTACGGGGCCGACCCTGGCGTGTGTCTACAAGACTGTTACACACAAACACACAGTTACCGTATCAGAGATTTTTACCTAGAATTATACTTTAAACACACGACACCATCAACTGAGACACTTCTACTACAACTACTAACTCTCGCACCCCTTATCCCCTATATATACTCCTTGTGTCCGTGCAATATATGTAATGGCTTAACTAGGCCCCTAGTAAGCGAAGCGTTGTCTTAAATGTCAAGCTGCATGCACGTTCATTTACCTAACCATTATGGGCATTATTGCCTAGAATAGTTAGGTAAATTAACCACAGTACGGGTGGGGAGTGAACTCGCGGCTAGTGAGTCTTTAAAACTCCAGACCGTTACCTTAGCCACTGGGCCAGCTGGCTACAATAAGATTCATCCAGCTAGGTATATATTTATATTCATTACAGTCAGCTGGCCCAGTGGCTAACGCGCCAGTCTGGAGTTTTACAACTCACTAGCCATGAGTTCAATCTCCTCCCGTACTGTGGTTCGTTTGCAATCGTGCCATTACGATTTCGTAAGTTCGTTAGGCAAATGCCCACAACAAAGGTGCTATTCCTAACTCGTGACTAATATTCCAGGCTGAGGCAGTCGTAATGGCACCCGAACCCCACCCGCCCGCTACAGAATCTACACCATGTAAACATCGCTGGCCGCCAGAGATGACTGTCTGTCCCGCAGTTAACAGATGAAATATCGATCTTCCTCCAGTCTGTGCGCTGAATGATCCACTCGCCCAGTACATCTTAGGAAACATAACCAAGGTAACGAAGGATAACAACGCTGAGTGAAAATGATAGCACAGTCAAACTCAGCATGAAAATAAGGCAGGTTGTCAACGTGGAGTAGCAGGTCTATAGTAATCCTATCAACTCCCTGTGGTTTCTTTATGCTCCCTGTGGTTTAGTTTGTGTTACTGGAGTGTCGATTACACAAGCGTTATGTAAATAACATTATATTAAGGAAACAACCTTCTACATTTCGTTCATTCTAACGCTCACACACTGGGGAGAGAGAGAGAGAGAGAGAGAGAGAGAGAGAGAGAGAGAGAGAGAGAGAGAGAGAGAGAGAGAGAGAGAGAGAGAGTGTGTGTGTGTGTGTGTGTGTGTGCTGGTGGTACAGTATGAAAAAGATAAAAATCGCTTTTTTGTTGGTAAGAGAAAACAGCAACAGGTGACCATCAGGTTGAACACTAAGGTGACAGACGTAGTGCATGTAGTCGCAAAAGCGGCGACTGAAAACATTACCCGGATAACGTTATCGGTTACTGCTTTGGTATTTAATATCGGCTCGTTGGTATTCCCATACCACCTTGTATTGCAAGATGAAGAACCGTTGTGGTGTAAGACGTGTGCAATACTTTGACCGCTTTACTGATAAAGTTTCGCCTGTCGAGATACACAGGTCGTTGAAATGTATATGTAAGATGGTCAGTCCCTGCGCCTGGTGAAGCAAGTTTGAGGTAGTCAGTCCCTCAGCCTTGGAGTTGGTGTGAAGAGCACCGTAGTTGTGAAGATTCTGGAGCACAGCAAGTTCTTCTACCTTCCAATTATGTCCTTGAATTTGCATTAATAAAGCCACTGGATGGCGGAACGTCTACAACAGACACCCAGATGTTGCAAGTGTCTAATTTTTCACCACAGTGAGTAGACATATTTATTTATTTATTAACAATTTGAGCACACATACAGAGGTACAAAAAATACAGATAAGAGCAGCATGCCAAAGCCACTTATACTATGCATAGCATTACGGGCTGGCTTAAAATTAACTTAGGATTAACCCAACCCAACTAATACTTTTAGTAGGACCGGAGTCGCTCACGTGAGCATTTTGCCCACGATATTACTTGAGAACATAAGAATGGAGGAGCACTGCAGCAGGCTCACTGGCCCATACTGGACACGTCCTCCTCATAACCAAACCTTCCTACTCACATATTTGTCTTCCAGAGTTACTAAGAGTTTCCTAAAAGGTTTGCATGGTAATATGACGGACACGAGAAATGTCATGAATGGGAAGAACTTAAAAGACAGAAACAACGAATGGAAGAAGAAACAACAACAACAACGAGCAATACCAACCCTTCCGCAGCCGTTTTGTTGACTTCCATTAAAAAATTTTTCCTCCCAGGATAAGCGCACCAAATGACTCTTCAGAACGTGTTCCCTCCCTCCCAACTCACCCCTCCTCCTCCCCCTCCCAAGCAGTTCCTCAACCTTTAACTCTCACCTGGAAGCATTGTACTGCACTCTCCGCCATCTAAAGTTACAATATCCCAACAATGTATTTAGTTTAGTTAGTTTAATATGTTTATTATGCACCCCATACCCATCCTGTGGGCGGTAGTCAAAAGATTACAGAGGTACATAATGGGTCCAGGGACTGGGCCTCAAAGTTTTGATAGCTGAGCAAGTTACAGAGGTAATGAATTCACAATTTACAAAGGTAATGAACTCCAGGTAGGTCTAGTCACAATCATGACAAGTTACAAAGGTATTTACAGATTACAGAGGTACACAATGGGTCCAGGGACCGGGCTCCAAAGTTTTGATGGCTGAACAAGGTAATGAACTCAAGTTACAAAGGTAATGAACTCACAAGTTACAAAGGTAATGAATACTGTAAGAATGGTTACTTACGTTTATACATGGCTGCAATCATGAACAAATTTTAGAGTAATGAGCAATTCACACTTCCACACCCGGTCACAACTGTAGTGAGTTATTGGTGCAAATGTTGATTGCTGAGTCTCTCTCTTACACACACACACACACACACACACACACACACACACACACACACACACACACACACACACAAACTCATCTCTCTCTCACACACACACACACACACACACAAACTCATCTCTCTCTCACACACACACACACACACACAAACTCATCTCTCTCTCACACACACACACACACACATACAAATTCATACACACACACACACATACAAATTCATACACACACACACACACACACACACACACATACACAACACACACACACACACACACACACAATGTATTTATCAATCATTTTTATGACTCACGAAATCGTAATAACATGACTGTAAACAAACCACGGAACGACTCGCTCGCCACGGGTTCAAACCCCACCCGTTCCCTGGTTGTATAACCCAACACTTCAGTCTTCTGAAGATTAAGATATGTGCAGTAGTCGGGTATCTTTATTGATGAAACGTTTCGCCTACACAATAGGCTTCTTCAGTCAAATACAGAGAGAGAAGTAGAAGTGAAATAGAGATGATGTAATCAGTCATTTCTGCTTCTCCCTTCTGATAAAGTCTAATGTGTAGACGATACATTTCATCAATAAAGATATCCAACTGTCGCACACGTGTCTTAATCTTCACCTTGTCTATATTTTATACCACTTTCAACCTTAGTCTTCTCTTTACGCTAAGAAGTGAGCGACAGTCATCTCTGCCTTCCTGCCACGACCTTCACTCAGAAATTCTCTCCACTCTCTAAGAGGTTGCTTGCTCTT